TAAACTCTAAACTCCTAAACCCTAAACCCTGAACCCTAACTCCTAAACTCTTAAACCCCTAAACTCTAAACCCCTAAACCTTAAACTCTAAACCCCTAAACCCCTAAACCTTAAATCCCTAAACCCTAACTCCTAAACTCTTAAACCCCTAAACTCTAAACCCCTAAACCCTAAACTCTAAACCCTAAACTCTAAACCCCCAAACCCTAAATCCGTGATAGCCTTGTTGGGCTCCGCCCCAGACATGCCCTTGGCTGCGAGGCTTCCGAGCTACACTTTCTGACCACCAGGAGATCCTGATGCCAAGGGTCTTAAGGGTTTGGGGTTCGGGGTTTAGGGGTTTAGGGGTTTTGGGTTTAGGGTTTAGGGTTTAGGGTTTGGGGTTTGGGGTTTAGGGTTTTAGGGTTTAGGGTTTTGGGTTGGTAGGGCAACTATTCTAAGTTTAGGGCTTAGGGTGTAGGGTATAAGGTTAAGGGACAAGGGGTTTAGGGTATAAGGTTATGGGTTTAGGGTTTAGGGTTGAGGGTATTATTATTAGCATTCTGAAAATATTGCTACTATCACTATTATTGATATTATTAGTATCAAGATTTGTTTTGGCTATTTTGAGTAATTATTTCTATGTCCTTTGATCATTTCTCCATCTTATTGGTTGCGGATGGGCGCTGGTCCAGTCACTTTACCTTATAAGCACCCCCCAAAGCATGAGACTTTTCAAGCTCTTTGTCTTGGATATATTCCCCACAAAGTCCTTGTAGCTTCTGCCTGCATATACATGGTTCTGACAACTCCCGCATGCAGATTGAAGTCGAGGAAAACTGCCCACAGCCTAAGCCCTAAACCCTAAACCTTAAACCTTAAACCCTAAACTTTAGTCCCTAAACCTTAAACCCTAAACTTTAAACCCTAAACTTTAAACCCTAAACCTTAAACCCTAAACTTTAAACCCTAAACCCTAAACCCCAAGCTTTGTGAAGGAATGGGAGCCGGATTCCAATGGTGTGGCTCCGTCGCGAGAAAGTAAGTCCACCTAGGGAGGCGGGGCAGAGAAGGAAGAGAGACTCCTTAGCCACATGAGCTATGGCCTAAACACCTTATATAGGTGAATATATGGGGTTATATAGGGTTTAGGATTTAGGGTTTTGGGTCTAGACTCCTTCAAGGGGTTTTATAGGGGATAATATCGCGGACTATGATAGATGTTTTCAGGGGGCTACTAGGAGTTTACATTATGGCTCATATTGCCACAGCTATGGCTTCGTCAAGGTCTGAGTTTAGGGTTGAAGGTTTCACAGTGGTGTGCAGTCGGTTATTCGGAAATGCTAGCAGGAAGTGAACTGATAGCTATCGATGACCTGTGACCACCAAAGCAATGTACAAGCAGAAGATCCTTCAGCCTAGTTACCTGATTACGATCATCCATACTTTCCATCTCAACGGTTGTGGCCATGATCCTTGCCAGTATTTCAGTCTTGTTGTTGTCATCAAACCCAGACCCCGGATTAATAAACCCCCTTTCCTTAATAGGGATTATAATGGGGATCCTAATATTAAGGCCCTTAAGGAGGGGGTTTCTTCGTCATGGGTCTACATTGGGGATTATGGACAAACCCAGTGTACTCCAACACAGGCTGCTGCTACGCCTGCACTACTGTCGTACCATTTCACTAGTGTTGTCACCATTCTGATGCCAAAGAACAATCCATTTCTAAAGAGGTAGATCTGTAGGACCCGGTGTGAGAGCTGGGCCCTAAGTCTAAAAGCCTGAATGAAGCTCCCTATATGACCCTATCAAACCCCTATATACTTCAGGGATATTTGCAAGACAGCCAGGCTCACAGCACTGAGGCTGGGAAAGCTGCTATGGTTCCTGTCTTTGATGATGCTTCTTCTTTACCCAAGTCGCCAAAATACAATAGTGTTCGGTTCTGAGCGTGTGGAGATTGTAGATAAAACCTCAAATAGTAGCATCCATGTACTTTTTCACTATCCTATATATCCCTATATATAACGCTTATATAACCCGGCAGCGGTGCTTAAAAAGTGCAAAACAAGGGTCAAGGGTCCTCGACCCCCCTCTCAGCACTTGGATACGTTAACAAATCAATATGTGAATTTCCTCCCCGAGCTACCAAGCGTACAAAAAAGATGAGAGTGTTTAGGGTTTAGAGTTCGTGTTTGGGTTTTAGGTTTGGGGCTCAGGGGTTTAGGATTTGGGGTTGGTGCGTCTTAAGGCAAGGTTGAAGGGGGACGTAGTTTTTGTGGGGGGGGGGGGAGGGTTCGGGGCTCTGACAGATGTATGATTTCTCCTCAACCAAAGCGTTCTGTGGAACCGTCCTTTTGTAGAAGTTCTTGTGTGAATTGGATACAGAATATGCACAAGTACAACAGAATGGCGTGGTTGTGCTTGAAGGTATCTACATCGCAAAGCGTCTGGCAAGTGAGCTTGTTCAGCATTAGTCTATGTTTCACTTGCGGTTTGATATGGTACGCTTGTCGGTATTAGCGGTCTATTCATGTGCTCTAGAGCTCTTTCCGTTGATCAACATGGCGATCGAGAGAGACACGTGTTCAGTGTTTGTAGATGATGTTTCTGGGTGATGTATGGAGGACTTGATGCAATCCATGCCTGCATCCCTGCTAAGAATGACATGGTCTTTGTTGTAACGGTATTGGAAGCAGAGCCCTTCCCATGACAGTGCCAGCAGTATTCCTTTCACTATAAACCGCCTTATTGATTGCGCAACAACTGGCTTATCTTCGGTTTTGCAGCAGACTTCGAAGAATTGTTTACCTGCCTGCTTTGCGCATCTAGGTTCAGCTGGTTTTACATTATGGGACCGGATCGGGGAATCTGGGGAATCTGGGCAGACCTGGCTTGCGGGGAATGACGAGAGAAGCCCTAGTTACCCTAGTTGGCATTGGTTTTCCGCAGTCTGGTCTCACTTACCAAGGGCCCAAAGTTAGCTCGTTCACATGAATTTTCTAGTTTCCCAAAATAAGTGGACTCCAATGTAGAAAGCAACATGCTATACTCCTTGTTGTGCGGATCCTCAATAAGGTACCCCGAATTTGGGGAACCCCAAAACCCTAAACCCCAAATGGCAGTTTCCATTTTCTTTTCCATTATACCCATGTAGCCCTTTTTATCATGTTATCCCAATCCTTATAACAAGGTACCACGAAGCTTGTGAACGTGACCCTAAACAAACCCTAAATCTGAAGCTGCCATAATAGGGTATATATTCGCGTTCTATAGGGATAGTGGACAAGAAAATGGATTCGACTATTAAGGCCCATAGAACCCCATATGTCCCCCTTTTCAAGGTACCCCTAAGCTTGGAAATGAGAAATTTCCCTAAACCCTAAACCCTAGACTCTAAACCCTAAACTCTGAACCCTAAACCCTAAACCCTAAATCCTAAATCCTATCTTGAACATGAAAGCTGCTTTGACCTTCGCCAGGCCGCGGCTGAGCATGGTGCCCAGCTTGCCACAGCGTCATGCGATTTAGGGTTTGGGGTTTGCGGTTTAGGGTTTAGGGTTTAGGATTTAGGGTTTAGGATGTAGGGCTTCAGGCTTTAGGGGTCAGGGATTAGGGTTTTGGGATTAGGGTTTAGGCTTTAGGGTCTAGGGTTTAGACTTTCGGGCCTAGGGTTAAGGATGCAAGGATGTTTTGTAATCTTTGTGGCGGGCTTTTGGGACGTGGCCATGCTTGCATGACAGTTCATAGTCATGAACATTCGTAGTCATACAAGCTGAGTGACCATGCAGACGGACAACAACAACAGACATTGACGGACAGCAGCTGTGGAAAGATCATTCCAAGCATGAGAAGCCCTGGTTTCGCGCAGAATTCAATTGCCCTTGCCATGCAGGTAGGAGGCGTCCGCAACATTGAGCTGTAGTCGAGAGGGGGTCCCTCAAAATTGATATTCAGGTCTCCAAAATTTGTGTCATGTAAGCGGCCAGCGACGCCCATGATTCTCCCATGATTGTCACAGCCGTGCCTCTCCTCCAGGTCGCCGATCGTGCGGGGCTTGGGCAGGTGATCTTGAGCCCGGGCAAACCAAATACACACGTATAGCAGCGAAAACAGAATACATGGCATGATGTGTTGCTAATCTGGCAGTTTCATTTCTCCGCTAGGTTGACTACATTGCATTGTGCGGATAGATAGTATTGCGCCCTCTATGCCGCGCGTACCTGTGATGTACATTAATGCAAATATCGCAAACACAGAAGCTTCCCTACGTCTGTCATGCTCAGAAGAGCTAATCAAAGCACTCGGAAGAAACGTGTTGTTACTTACTGGTGTAGTCGGGAATAAGAGAGTATGATCCCTATATGGTCCCTTTACAATATATTCCCTTATTCCCTACTAACTGCCAGTAAGCTTATTGTCCCATCGACCCAGGTGCTCCTCCATTGTCATGGCAACGCCACCGACATCGGGACTGGTTGTCATGACTAGTGGTAGGGCATCACATGATTGCTGGGATGGATTTCAGCAAAGCCAAGTTCTCTACTCCTTTTCCACGTGGCAGTACCTGAATGAGTACTTACGCATGTGTTTTCTTCCACTGCTACCAGCGCTGCTATTGATACGTCGACCATTTGCAGGCATTATACCCCCTATATGACCCCAATAATATAGGGGTTTCCATTTCATTTTCCACTCTCTCAATGTAACGCCAATATAACACCCCAATATGGGCATGTGCACCCTAAACCCTAAGCCCTAAACGCTTACTTGCAGCATTTCCCATGTGGCACGTTGTGGCGGGGTGTGTGAGGATGATGATGGGCCCCTACTACGAGCTGGCAAAGGTCCTAGGAGTGGAGGTCCAGCTGAGGGCCTTAGGGTTAAATTGGGTTACTATACGTATTACTACTATCATTACCATTATTACTATTACAATTATTACAATTATTACTGTTACAATTGTTGGGCTATGACTATTAGTATTGTGGTCTTCAATGAGGATCCTGTGGGATTTCGAGGGTTTAGGGATTGTCACATTGAAGGCATTGAACCAAGCTCAGTATCTTCTAGCTAGTGATGTTGGCATTTTCCTCACTATGCTGCTTCTTATTCTTCTCCTCCTCTACTTATTCTTGATCCTGGTTTATTACAAGTTGCAGAGGGGCGTGGGAAGGTCTGCGGTGTGGAGTACAGCGGCTATGGCGCTGCTTCCGGGAGGCCCAGCTCCTCTCAGGGCTCCTCATCCATAGTTGGACCATCATATTTTGCTTCTCTATCAACTCTACAGAGTGCCTAGTAACTGTAGTATACTGGGCTGCTGCTAGGGAATTTAGATTAAGCTACTAGAATGAGGAAACCCTATTGTTTACTATATACCCATATTCTGGGAACTTTAACTAACAGCAACTCAGTATAATGTCATGGAGTCACAGAATGGTATATACATATAGTCAGAAACATGGCTTCCCAATATAGTAATTCAAATCAAGTTCTTAGCAGCAACCCAGGTAATACTGCTGTCACGTATATGACGCGCGTGTTTTTAATGCACCATAGGAAGTATGAAAAGGATGTACGTTGGACTTCAGGCTGAATGATTGGACAATGAGAACACACACACAACAAAAACAATGGTGTCAACACAAACCGCAAAGCTTGGAAAAACCATTACACACTCACCAGCTTTCCAATGACCA